TTTGGTGCCCAACTTGGATAAAAGAGTAGGATGAAAATTGGGATATTCAAAGCAAATTCAAGCGGAAGATAGAGAATTGATATAGAATGGTGTTAGGGGAATAATGAGTGGATGCACGAGCGCCACTGTTTGCGACACCCAGCCATTTCACACGGTGCAGCTAACCATCGGTGACCATCATCCCGAGGTCCCCAGCCAGGGAGCTTAACGGGACCTAGGTGAACCAGTCTCCTTGTCAGGGTTTTCACACCCTCATGCCAGGTCTTCTTTTGACCACCCTTGGCTTTGCGTAGCACATGTCCCAACCAACGTAGATTATGGAGGTCAATCACTTGCTCCAGTAGACGACCGCGATTGCTTAAAACTCCATGGCTCACCTGAGCATTGCTCATCCGGTTACCCTACCAAACTCGTGCACTGCCTGCAACCACGTGAAAGGCATTTGATCAAGAAGTTTCTAGATGATTCTTTAAAAAAGCTGACTGTTACAAGAAAAGCCACGGGGTGCCTCCTCTAGGTGCATCTTTGTCGACGAGGAATAAGCCGTAGAAATAGCACGGATGAAGTGAACTGTTTGGAGATAATCTACAATAGGACACCATACTTGTCCTTTGAATTCGGAAAAAATTACAGTACACGCATAGAGTGTTTCCTAATATACAGAAAGGAAGGAGAGATGATGATCGGTAGTAGTATCATCGTGCATGGGTTATCGCATCAACTTTATCTTGACATCAGAATTCTTACTCCCACTGTTCCAAATGAATAGGTTTGTTAGATTGCACGGTTCCACCCTTGTTATCTCGTGCATACAAGATCGTTCGCGAGAGAGAACAATTTCCCGATATCATCATACCCAACTAGCGGTTCCACTTCCAAGTATAGCACACGCATGCACTGTTGTCTCAGTCTGCGATTCGATCATGTGCGACAAGCTTCAAATTAGTACAGATCCGTCACTGGATTTTTACTTAAGCATAAATGATGAATTTTATTCAACAACAAAAGTTGCGAATTCCGGTCGCTTAGTTCACGCGAACCATGGGTTTCTGTTTGTTGGGCACAACGTTGTTCAGTTCCTCCACTGAAAACTAGCACAGCGTTTAGTTTTCAAGTGTGTTCAGTGCTTCCGTTAGAGGAAACCTGGAGTGTTAACCGGGTGAATAGATCAATGAACTGATAGTCGTAACAACCGGGCTGTGGTCACATCCATCTGACAAACTGCTTCAGGTCACAATGCCCGAGGTTCGGACCTGGGATGGGGAGACGTGGGCACGTGTACACTGACACGTCGGTGCTATGTTGAGTGTGTACCATGAACGGACGAGTGCGCCAGCACACCCACTACAGACAGACACACACACAGGGACCGAGCGATTCGGGATTATGGAGCGGCGGGGTGGACAACTCCTTCGGGTCACCGTTTAAAGAAGGGTGAGGGTGCGTGTGTGGTTCGTCGTACGCTTCACAGTGTATCCCCTTATGAGTCATTCTCCACCGTCCCGTAGGGTCGTCAGTTGAGCAAAACAAAGATTGTATGCGCGTATTAGGGACGGGACGGGACGGGAACCAAAACACACACGAACACACACACTTAGCAGACAAACACATAAGGCAGGACCAGACCGATCAGCCTGAAAACAGACGGATGCGGGTTGGTAATCGGGGCTGATTGGACAAGCAGAAAGTCGGCCAATCGACCGACCGTCCGGCAAAACGACATCCGAGAGTGATAAAGATTTAGTGAGACTCCGCCCGGTATGAAATAAAGGATACAGACTAAAGTACATCGGATATAGGAAACCCGACTTATTATTGGTAGTAATGTGGAAGGACCGTTGCTCGGAGAGCGGATATTGCTGTTGATATGTTCTCCAAGCTGGAAGCGGGAAGCCGCTTCCCCGAATTTGCATGAATGATGTTGCCTAGCTTGACTTCGAAACGTCCGTGAACAACACTTCCAACTCGGAGAACACACCAAAACTAACATCGATTTGTTATTATTCATGTTTTATCAATCAGAGAAAAAACATTGAATCAAGTAGGGCAGTGGCGACCCGGTGGTAACGTCACCAAATTATCACCCCGGGATGTGTATTCGAATCCCACCACCAACGCCGGACTTTCCCCATTGTTTTGAACGGCAGCCCTTTGATTGACCCCTTCCCGAAAATTGTATCTTTGTATATTCAATAAAAAGAGGTAAAATGAAAAATGAGTCCCATGAGGCCATGGGACTTGAAGCATCCACCTACCTGGGGACATCAGCAGAATTGCAGCCATGAGAGCAACTTCTGTTTGATCGATTTCCAATCGAGCCAGTTTCATGGCTACTGCACGGATCATCTGTGCGCATTTCGCGTCAGACAATCCGAGTTGAGGATAGGTCGAATTGGGAATGACCAGAGTGCTGCTGCTGGTGTTGGCGTTGTGACCCACGGCCAAATCACTTCCACTCGAGTTTGGCACGGGCAAGAAATCGATAAGGCCCTTTTGCCGTGCATTCAAACTGAGAATGTAAGCCGCACGCAGAGTGATCACATCCAAGCAACAACCACGGAGAAGCCGTGTCTGATCGTCAGCACCAAGCTGTGAAGTAGATAAGTTGAACCGCGCCAAAATTGTAAGTAGTCGCGAAGAAACTCTTTTCATAATCACTGAAATTTTTGTGTCCAGCATTCAATGCTCATCTTCTTAATTGGTCATGGATGATGTACTTCAAACTTACTACTTACTCAGATTTTCGAGCTAGTTAAGGTACGATAATCTTATCATTTGAAGTTCTCCAACCTACATTCACATACGCATGAGAGCTATATTCCGATAGGGTCATGTAAAGGTTGATAATAACAAAAATATATTGCTGGTACACCAATAGAACATCACTATCACTCTGGTGAGTTAGAGGGCAAGTTGAATTGATTGTCGTGTTGCAGTGAACCGCAAAATTTCAATGTAGGAGATTGTATAAATATCCTTGCCGGTCCTCTCAAATACTTCACAAATCAAATATCTGAATTACACCATAGCAAATGTAATGGAAAAGACAGTAAAGCATTGCAATCATGAAATGATAAATCTGAAACAGATTCTGCTGCACCACACGGCTCCTGATCGTTTATGGATAAAGGGTGATCTCATGTAGGTGAGAGTAGCGCTGTAAAAGTACAAGAAAACAGCAACTTGTAACCCTGATGTCAGTGGTGAATGGTAGTTACTCACAATTCCAGGCGTTCCGTAGTTCAATCTCACGTACCCGATCGAACCAATGACAGCAATTAAACGATACACTCAACAGAAATCTCAGTCGGACCACGATATACAGATTCTTCAGAGTAATAAATTCGTCGATCAGTTTGGTCGCCTTCATTCTGAATAATGATGTAAGTTTCTAATATGTACATGGATGGCTTCTAAAAAATTTTGTGATAAGTGCTTGCTTGGATTTCAACCCGCTAAACGAGTATGGAATTTCGAAACTTCGTTCTCCATAGATAGAGTAACCTACCAGGCAAGATACATACACAAGTCTGGGTCACGTGATCCTAACCTCGTCTTTATCCCAGACCCCCGACCACTTATGGTCCAGTACAATTTTTCTCCTGAATCATGCACAAAGTCACTTTTAGCTTAATAGAATTCAATGTTTACTTCGTAAAAATTTACGTTAATTAGACAATACTGGTGTATTTTGCCTACCCAAATTAGTCACAGAAGGCCATCGGGGATCAGACTCAGAGGCAAAATTTTATGACACATGAAAAATTCTAATACAACTGGACCCATTTTCTCCTTATTAACTCGAATCGTTCCATTGGAAAAAAAATTCGGATTATTTTTAACCTACAATATTGAACAAACGTTCATGTTGTTTAGAAATGGGCGGCAATCAATGGAAGACACGGAGCGGGAGATCTTTAGGGACAACCATGTGACTTAAGAACCAGTGCTGCCTGGGTTGTACCCAGTTCAACTCCACAAGTGTAATGATGAATTTTCTCTTGTGTAGCATCACAAATAGCTGTGTATACGTAGTCACACACGTGCACGTGCACGTAGTCAGTTGTCACCACCGGGAGCGAGAATGTAGGGTCACGGACCGATGACCTCGCTACGGGTATGGTGTGTACGTACGTATCCACACGCTCGCTCGATCGATCACATCGCCAACGTTTTAGACCATTTTCATTTCCGTCGTATACGTGCTTATGTGGGTCTGTGCGACGGCACAGTGACCACCTACCGGTATCGCGCTCTAGTGCAAGCGAGGTGGAAGGACTGATCTTGTGTATTGCCTGTGCCCTGATGTCCCAGCCTGAGCTACCATGGGGCTTGATGTGTGTGGGCGGGGGTGCATGCGTGTGTGCACGTTTCGAACATAAAACGCATTCACCTCAAAGCGGCACACGATGATTGCAGTAGCAATCGCATTACTAACACTAACACGCTATAGATACATGCACAAGCATTAGTTCTCTTTCTATGTGTGTGTACGGCTGCGTATTGGTGCGTGCGTACCTACATTTCCAGGTCTATCGGACGGCAGCGACAGCACCTAAATTGCACACGCATTGGTACCGTTTGCTAGGTGGTGACTCGTGCTGATCGAGTGCGTTAAACACCGAAGGAACGCAGTTTGTGAGCGAGCCATCTCTGTAGCAGAAACAGCGACAGTGATACAAATAGGCTGAGCGATTCAGAACAGATGGCAGCAGTGTTTGTGCGCCATTGTGGCATGATTAAAACGGTCGGCAAAGCATTTCCCACATCGCTGCTTGAGCAGTGTGAGTGAACAGATGTGAGCTGGTTCGATCATTCATCAAATTGCCTATTGGTGCTGTGGTTCGATAGTGGCAAGCATAAACACATCGAATAAGCGATTGAGAACAGCTTCTGTCACAGTTCTTATATTGATTCAGTAGTTCTTTTTATTGTCTTGAGCATCCACAGGACTTCCCTATTCCATCAGACAGATGCCAGCTAACATAATAGTAATAATCACCACTTCCCAGTTTATCACATGAGATAAATCAACGTGTATCAATCAGTGGTTCAATAGTAGCAATGCAACGGATGGGACGAAAACCCTGCCATGCAATTTTTGACGAGTATTTGATATTGTTGAACATTACTTCTACAGATGGCAGTGAGATGATGACAAACGAAACACGTAAATCTCACGCAGTAGGGCCATTCACTAATCACAGAAAAAACGGGCAACAAAATCACCAGTGAGTTAGTTGACGTCCAAGTGACAATGACTTACCAGACCGAATCCGGGGACCAATTTTGCAAAGGCAACCAGACGTGCAATAATCGGTTCGATCAATGAGGAGATATTGGACGAGGTAGGTGTGGTTTGGAACGCGGATTCAGCATCGTCACCGTCCGTCTGGAAAAGAAAAAGAGGATATGGAAAACTAGTTAGACTTGTTTCGCACAGCATGGAATTTTCAGAATCCACGGAAATTGAAGAGTAAAATCAGGAATCAGGTAGATATATTCGTCATCAGAGAGACGTACAGCCCAATAGGCCAAACGGCGGAAGATGCGTTTTAGTGAGAATGACAGGTTGCTTCGCATGATGAATGCATGTTGCGTGGGCAGACCAAACTTCTCAAACGACTACATAATCAATTGAAATGCCCATCATCGTTTAGATAATCCCATTGATTACACGCCTTATTGGGCAGAGTAGTAGTCGCGATAACCAGCTGTGCCGTTGATAATTAAGACATCGATGATTAAAGTGGCTAACCATACATCTATGGGCATCGGTAAGCCTAAAACCAAATGTGCGCTTATTTTTCTGATGAATTGCGCGGAAATGCAATTGCTAAAAGTGAATGCGTATTCGGTTGCCTTCTTTGAGGAACAACAGATATACCAATGAATACTATATATATATGACAGGTAGAGAAGGCCGTGTCATCGAAGGCGTAGCAAGCACCACCGTTGCATGACGTTTGCATTTCTGAACTTACATTGGCCACACCCTTATCGGATGGGACTATCATTTCACGATAGGCTAAACGAATTGAATCCACCATCGTCTCGTCCTCACGAGTCCAAGTGTATTCCACGTTGGCTGATTGAACTCGGTTGATAGGTTTTGGTGGACAACGATTGACCGCCTCTGCCTTCTCTCTCACGGTGACCGGTATCGGTTGGATTGTTTGGGAGCGATTGACTGGTTCCGGTTGGAAGAATGGCCTAACCGCCATATTCGAAGAGCTGCATGGGACCGGAATCGGTTGAGGTGGTGGTGTTAAACTGAAACACACTCGTTTGGCCTCAACCGCAGGAGTGGGTTGAGGAATCATGAGGAAAGAGACGTTTGGATCATCTTTTCCACCGGTCGGCTCAGAAGCACGGGTTCCGTAGGTTTGTATGATAGATGAATACGACGACTGAGCGAAAACAGGAGATGCAGTAACAGCGGTGGCGTAACCAGGTGCGGGTACATGATGCATTGGGTATGGAGTGACCACATGTGACCAGTACATAGCATTGGGAACGTCAATCGGTTGGCTTGATTGTTCCGTTGAGTAAAGAATCGGAGGAACATTCTCAGCCACTTTGGGAACTATGGGCATTGGCTGACTGATCCCGTGCGGATTGTTCACTTCGGAAAGGTATGCTTGGGTCACATAAGAAGGTGTGGCCAAGTTAGACATAGCCGGTTGAAGAGCGATCGGACCAGGAGGATTAATGGTATCAGCTTCCGCACGCTTCCGCGCCCGGTTGGCTTCGATCAGACGGCGTTTCGCTAACCTTTTATCTTCATCAAGAACCACTAAAGAAAAAAAAACAGGTGGAAGCGAAAGAACTATGATGAACAAAAGCCGTCAAAATGTTCGAGTACGAATGTTCAAAAAAGGACGATATAATCATGCGAGTATTGTATCGGGCATTATCAAACTTACAGTCTTTCGCCATTCCTCCACGAATGCATCGATCGAAACGGCACTTTTGGCAACTGTTGCGGTTCTGTTTATCGGAAACCGAACAATGGCCTTGAAACTTGCAGGTGTACACCAGCTTCTTTTGTATGGAACGTCGAAAGAATCCCTTGCAACCTTCGCAAGTCATGGCTCGATAGTGAAATCCAGTTGCATTGTCCCCGCACACAACACATGGTTCCGGACCGCTGGAGGGATCCATGTAGCTCGGAATGTAGGGTTCCTCTGTGTGGACGAAAAACGAGGGGGATTTTCAGGTTTTGAAACCACGTTACACATGCACAAAGATAGCGGTACTTGTTTCTCAACATCGCCAACAGCGATGATGAAGAAGTGGGCAACTTCAAATTTCCTCTGACTTAATAACAGATGCATGGTGTCTCTGGTTATTTGAGTAAAAAACAACATCAGACGAGACGGAAATGTTAATACTCAGTTAGGGTGGAACGCATTTGCAACAATGTTCTTATGGAACCTTTCCCGAACAGGGGAAAGAAAGAAGATTTTAGGTTGCTCGGACGGGTTCAGTTTCCAAAATAAATAGTTGCCGCTGTTCGTTGATAGAATGAACAGAACTGATGGAAATACTGATCGAACAAGGTATAGTAAAACCAATCTGGTGGTTGAGTGAATGTGTATAGGTTTACAGCTGTCTCGGTAGTTATAAATCAGATCACCAGGTCTTTTGACTGTCTCTCAAGAAGGCAGAGTGATCATCGGAGTGGGGTCTTTCGGAGACAGCATACTTCCAAATAGAAAATCCCTAAGCTTCTTAATAAGGCAGCTTGACCGATCAGATAGTGTGGGGACATGAAATGCGACAGCCAATAAATAGTAACAAAAACCGCCACGCGAAAGCGTATGATTAAAATGAATGTATTAACTGAAAGTAAATCATTTTAAACCTAATACTTACTGGGTGTTTTAAAATGAGTTATGCATTCGTTCGAATACAGCAATACTGACAATGAGCTAATTAGACGGAATACGACGCGTCCTTCAGAAACCCTATTAGACCGTTGTCATGCCAACTGAATTAACTCAAACAAACAACCGGGCAAAAAGCATGAGCACTCATTAGTTTAGGAGACTAAAACAGAGCAGAATAAATTTACCCAGACCTGGTGACCTTAAGTTTGTCCTCGCATTCCGCCCGCGCTCGCAACCGAGACACGAACGACGAATCATTTGACTAATAGCTTTTTTCACCATGTCGACTGCTCAGGAAAAAGCGTTAATTGGTTCCCAGTCCCACTAGACAAAGTCACTCAGATATCTGTGTTTGAGCCGGTGTGGCAACTGGAAGGAAGACCGCTATGGACACTATGAATGATTTGCATTCAAGCGTAAACGAAGTGTCTCTGTGAGTCTGTGCGGGAGAGACGGATGTGGGAAAACATGGAATAGTTAAACAATACCGTGTATGAGATGGGATAAACGGAAATTCGTAACAATTCCGTCAACAAAAGCTCTAGCCGAATATGGGCTGGTTTTTCCATAATCGATCGCCAGAGCGTCAAACACAACCTAGAATGACCCCACGGGCCGCAAGTCAACTGACCCAGACAAAGTCTAAATGACCCGCTGTGTCGGGCCGTGGGTAACGCTCGAGAACCTAGTGGTCCGAGCAAAAACCCATAACGCTCTCTCGCTTGCTGTGCGTGTGCCGCGTTGTGACCTGAACCAGCAGCCTGGTCCACGAAATATGGTCGACTCGGGACGGCTTCCACAGTCTGAATCTCAGTGTCTGGCGAAACTGTAGGGCCAGACAAGGAAGGGTGTGCAGGGGAAAACATACCGAGGATCACCACCAACACCGCAAACAAACGGCCGGAGGCGCTCCGGTGCGAACATGCTCCTGTCGGCTGTGTTAGTGGTGGTCTCAGACACAAGCGCGCACACACGCACACGGAGAGAGGCTTTGTCTGAAGTCTCAATGAGGGTGACTGTGTTATCGGGCTCGATTAGAGAATACCTTGCTGCAAATTCTAACTGATGGTGATCATCCACCTAGTTCGATTGGATATGCGTGTATGCAGACCTAGATATGCGAGGACAAGGACCATCAATATAGTAGATCGCATGGTAGGCCTAAACGAGGCACGACGTGGACTTGTCGTAAGGATGTAGGCACGTGCCTGAATGCGTACCGACCGTGTCGCAGACTGGATAGCATACCAATTCAGATAGGCCAGGAATGTTAGTCACTTGTGCACGAACGAGTGAGTGGTGGACGACATTAGTGACCCAAAAATTCAGTGCAAATAGAAGCAGGCGTACAGATTACTCAGCAGATTATATGCAAAACTGTCTGGACGCACTATCTACTCATGTGAATTAGCGTATGTCGTTCCTTGTCGTTCATGTTTATCTTTTTGACAAACTTCGTTTGTTGTACACACACTTCAAGAAACATTCTCGTTGACCGAGGGAACCAAAAAAGGAGGGAGGGGAATGAACACTATTAATATTTGAGTCAGAAAGGGGAGAAGTGCTGGGGAAAAAGCCAGGGTTCTGGTAAAGCCGGCCGAGGTAGCCTCAGATTCCTCATCGAAGAATACCACGACAATTCGAAGAATGAGATAATAACCATAAACTAGGGAGCGTTTGCCTATTCGCCCCAAAGAACTGTTGGCAGATCATCGGATTAAACACGGATGCATAATTTGACGCCAAAATAACGCAAAAAGAGGTGCCCGTCCACCCTATAGCGAAATGCGTTAATCGATAAACATCTCTCTCTCACTCGCTCCAAGTCAACGTAAATGTTTCCCTAAGGTATTCTCCTTTCGACAGTAAATATTGTCATTAGCTATTCTTAAACAAAACTTGGCGATTTCGTGACGAGCACGTCCCTCTAGATGGTAGGGTGAACTGCGCCAACCCATGATTAATACATAAGGTGCCTCATTGGCATATGAAATCACGAGCGACGGTCATTTTCAGAAAACAGAACACTGCACACTAGCGGCCATCATTTTATGAACCAAGGTCGAGTGCCCCAATAGGACAGGCCGTCTGTGACCTGATAATAACACTATTCCACGCCAATACCTCTTATGCTGATGGTGTCATCTATCCCCGTTCAGGTGCAATACACGAACCGCACCACAATCAACTACAACCCGGTTGCACAAATGAGGGGCTTTGACGAAGTGCAATTCAGTTAAAACTGTGGTTTCGAAGGCAAGGGGCGACCGGCGCGGAGAAACGTATTCGTGCGCGTGTGTGTGTGTGACTAGTTAGCCGTAAAGACCACTACGTTGAACTCTGACCTGCCCAGTGATCTTTCGGTTCGACCACGCCCTAAGGTCACATGCACCAGTCTGTGCGTGCCACCAACAAAGGGACACCGAGTGTGAGCGCGTTCGCTCGCACGCACACACACGGCATCAAATAACCAAGTAAACACACGTAGTGTATGTGTACACAGTATGGACCGATTGGTCGGGCACAGCTGGTGTGGATAATGAGGCCAAAACGCGCCACGGGTCAATGAATGAAGTCAGAGAGCGACCATAACCGAGAGACTATGGAACAGAACGTGTGCTGGCATGTTTGTGCGTACTGTCAACCACACGCCAGGTTTCCGTGTCCGTGTCGACCGAAACAAAGAAGAAAAGGGTTTTCAAGTTGAAGTGTTTCTCTGTATAGAACGATCTAGTCAACTGGTCAACAAGTACATTTGCCAAATACCGTCATAGTGTGCAGTGTCTGCTCAGAGGAAGACGCAAAATTAGTACACAGGTGACGGCAAAGGACTATGTCATCGCAACCTAACTTAGGTGGTAAACAGACTACGTAGTTCAGAGTAATAGCCCATTAACTTTTACTAGGTCTCAGAGCATAGGTTATTGGATGCCACAACCGGTCCGCATGTCTAGTGTGTGAGCTCCCCAACTGTTGATCACAATTCAGTGTGTAATGAACAGTATTTCATTGCTTCCTAGTTGGGATTTTATCGGTCACTTTTGCAAATCGAGACATGCTGATACCGTCTCAAGTAACCCCCAGTATTGTTTCGTGTTGCACAGTTATCGAATCTACCCACCAAAGTTACCAAGCCGCTGTGATGTCCGGATGATCACCATTCTACACAACAATTTCTTAACCTTCTATTGAAGCATGGGCCCGGAAGGGGGGACAAAGGATGTTGTAAACTTTACAGTCCCACATGCCGTAAAAACTCATGGCACATCTCAGAGGTTTGCCTTGCACTTATTTATGTATAACCTCTGAGCGTTCAACACGCTGAGCGGACGGTTAAGTAAATTAGAAACGTCATTTTTAGATTGGTTCGAAATTCAACTTTGATTGGCAGTGAGGATCCTGGAAAAAGAGTGGCTAGTTGTATGTGATAGACCTTGGGTAAGCCACATCTCTCTTCCTGAAAAAATGTGATCAATAAAAAGGAAATAGAAAAGCAAATATCTGGCAGCTTTTCATTTCCGATGCTTCTACAAGCATATTTCGTTAGGCCTATTGACAGATATACCTTGTTCCTTACCAGAGGAAGTCCAAAATATCATTCTGATTGTTTGGTACTTGAAGAGTAAACATTGAGTTGGTGCCCCTGAAAAACGATGTCATGCGCAAGTAACAGAAAAACTGAATGTGAATCTGGGAACCAATGAGGTATATCGATCGACCATGATACGCTTGAAGCAGTCAAACACTGCACAGTGGTAATTGGGAACAGGGAAAGGGAGAAATACTTGTAATATGTTTGCTGTGTGTACAATCCTTATTCAAACCAACCGCCCAAAATTGTCTTTTGCATTTCAGAATGTTCGCTATGTGCAACATGAAAACAGAAATACCAATCGAGAGACGTAAAACGAAATGTTATTGACTTGAAAGTTGAACCGTTTTTGTTTCACTGTTTTTACTTGTAACACACCAGCACGCACATTAAGACAGACATATTTGTACCGTTTCTCGTTTTGGACCTGTTGCTAATGCATGTCTCTCTACTCTGTGTCCGTCTGCGACGATCGTCATTCAGTGTGTACGCGGCTAATTGTTGTGCCTCCCCTTTTAGCCAGTTCGATCGCGATATAACCAACGATTGTCTGACGTTGCCTGTGGGAATTCAGTGAGTTACCTTCTATCTCCCTGTTCGTATACTACACGTTCACTTACGCGTAAGTCAAATGACTGATCTCTCAGGGGACTTCCGGTTTGGGGGACTGAAGAGGGTTGCAACACCGCTCCCTCTCTTACCCAAGCTTCAACAGGAAGCTGAGAAATCTTTGGCGATCATCCAGATACAGCTAAAGATTGAGCGGCGAGTGATAACTGATAAGATTAGGGTCCTAAATGGACAAATGAATTCAATAGCAGGACAACTTGAAATGAGACCAGGGCGTGAGCATTCGCGACTCAGACAAATAGTTGTGCAAGGTTTGGTTTACTAATCCAAGGTCAGTACTGCATACTCATGGTCACCAAACAAAGCCTTACTACCATGTGACTGCCTTTTTTGATGGACAAGTCAATCACTGTTTGGGTTAAATTGCCCATCTCAAATGATAGTCTAACAAGCACTCTAACCGCCAGATGCGATCGGGCATCTGAAAGGCGACACGAGTAAAAGATTATGCTGCAGCACGCTCCTTAGACAGATTTTGTTGTTGTTCCATATCAAGGTTCGAATTCAGAGTAAAAGGCCTGCAACTTATCTCCCCACCTTCGCCACTCAACTTTCTCCTCTGTTCCAAGACAGAGCCTAAATGGATGCAGCCCATCCCCATCTTGAAAGTTCGTTCTGTATTTGTTTAGCCAATGAGGACCGTGGGCATACAGAGATTACTTAGATGTGGAAGATGGGTAGCAGTAAAGCGGTTCGAACCGGAGCTTTCCGGGACAATATTTTGATGCCTATAACCACTTGACCACCTCGGTTGACTATAGTGAAAGCGGTTCATTATTCACTGTACCGCAATAATCGAAATGTATGTATGATGTATTTCACAATCCGCGTTCGATATCCGGGTTCATGCAGTTCAACAGTGGCTTTCGCTCCGAGCACAGATCCATGATGTCGAGATCATTGTCATCCTGAACAGATTAGCTGGGAGTTACTCAAGAGACTTGAGGGGTTGACTACCTTATGGTGTGTTCGTGTCATAATTGCTCCATTCACAACGCCCCTCTGGAACGCACAGATGCATTTGGCTCAATGGAGCGCAAATACATGACCTTTGTGCATCACATTCGCTCCACAAGCGGACACAAATAGCTTCAACCCAGTTCCATCCACTAATAGCTTGGATTGTTGAAGTAAGAGTCTAAAGAGAAATGGATCGATGTTTGATGTGATGTTTAAAAGCTCAGCAGAATCAGTAACACTAGGCTGGTTCTCCTATTTAGGTACACATACATATCACTGTATCTCGCTGTAAAATGATGACGCCCATAAACACCTCACGTACAAAAATGTAGACAGCAGTTGACCCAACTTCTGAAGACGTACATTATAGGATGAAGGCAATTTCGACAAAGAATTCAAAGGTTTCGTTAGTGTATGGTGAAGTAAGGATGGAAACGTAGCACAGCCATCCAATCCGGTAGGTTTGTGGACGCGGGAATGGTAATTATACGCAGACATCCATAACTGAGATTGTGACCGGTACAGTTGGATGATAGAGTCCGGAGACAGAAAGGTTCGAAGTACCCTATGAAATCGGATGAGTAACTGAAGTGGCTAGTATGGAATAAATAAAAATCATTATCTACTGGGACGATAATGGGTAGACTTGCTACACATCTTACTACCCCGTTGGGTTCCAAGCAGGCAAAGTATCAATGTATCGCCCACTATAAGCACCGCTTTTGATGGTAGTCCGTTATCCAGACAATCTCGACCGTATATCACGCATGCAAACCGGGAAGGGTGCATTACTAATAAGTTGTTGATGAAGTTACAAAGCAAATTCGTTTTATATGGATCGAGTGTGAATCTTGACAACTGAGTGCTATTTCACGTAAATTAGATCAACTGATCGCAACTTGGTGTACTTTGAGAATTGTGAACACAGTTCCAGGCGGTCAGTTGGAGTTGTGCCTGATTTGTACCGGT